TTTACCTAGCCACTGTGCTCTGGATGAGGGCTCGAACTTTCTGTAATTGCCCACAGCGATCTGTGCCAGGAGAGGAACTGGCACACCTCCTCGAGCTGATCAGGTGTGGCGAGTCGCCTTCGCGCACCCTCTCCCAAGTGCAGGTGCCCACCACCGTGCCGGTGCTGGCTGCGTTCAGACCCGGTTCTGCCGTACCTGCTTCCCACCTCCCTCCCTCCCTGAGCCCTGAGGGAGGCTTACAGACAAGTCTCAGAGCAAGGACCTCCTCCTCCACAACCATGTTTCCACCACCACACCACCAACACAAGGGTCGCAAAATGTCCTCTGGCGTCACTTTGGGCTTTGGATGTGGTATGCAATCAAGGCTGATGCGTTGTATTTAATTGTCAATACCCGTCCTTCTTTTTTAATTTTCTTTTTGGGAGGCAGGGGGCTTTTAGGTCAGGGACGGTTTTGAAGAGTCTGGGCCAGTTGTCTTGAAGTGGGTCCCACAGCTGGATTTGTTGGGTGGTTTCTTCACGATTCGAATCAGGTTGAACTTTCGGGCTAGAACATGGCTCAGGTGGTGTGTCCTCAGCGCGACCCCTTGCCGGGGGTTACCGCTTGGCTAGTGTGCTGCCACCCGCTTGCTCCCCCGTTTTCAGGGTACTTCGCTCTCGACAAGTAACGGGCAGGTTGCTCCGTTCACCACCCAGGGACGGGACCGGGTGCGCCGTCCGCGCTGTGCAGTCCTGACCCTCGCCTCCCTCAGCTGTCCTGCCCGTGGCTGCAGAGCGGAGCCTCTCCCAGCCTGTGCTTTGCCACCTGCATGCAGCAGCTGGTGTGCTCCTGGAAACACGAGCCCCCCTTCCCCTAACCAGCATCTGTCCTTTGCCCCCCTCGTGTGTGTGGACTGGCATTTTGTGGTGGTGTAGGGGGGGTCTCCTGCTTCCCACTTCCGGTACATTCACTCACCATCCCGGGCTCTTCTCTGTGAGCTCTGTACCCCCTTTGCTCATTTTTCTCTTCAGCGGCTTGCCTTTCTCCTCATGGGGCCCTGAAGTTCCTTATATACACCCAGCACGGACCTGCATCGGGGATGTGCTACAAATGCCCGCTCTTAACACGTGGCTTGTGGTCCACTAGGCTCAAGGCATCTTTTGGCACAGATGTGGGAAGAGACGGCAGGCCCCAGATGCAGTCCCTTGTCCCGAGCCCACGCCACCAAACTGAGACTTAGTAGTGGCCCAGTTGCAGGGATGAGGTGGCGGCTGACAGAGCCCCGCATCCCCCCAAGGCAGCCAAGGCCGCCCTCCCCCGCCCACACCCCTCTCCCTGTGCGACCTCATGCCTTGTTCCCCGGGGCCCCTTCCTGCCGGCTCCATGGTGCTGCCTGAGTCCAGAGCCCCCGCATGAAGCCAAGAAGGCCTTTAGAGCTCGCTCACTTGGACCCTGTTTTTTAACCCAGAGAGATTCATGTTCTTAAAACTTTCTTTACGCCTGTGGAATTTATCAAACTCTTGTTTTATGGTTGGGAGGTTTTACACCTGGTTTAAGAAATCCCCCTGTTCTGATGCTTTCCTATAGCTGCTTCCTAAAAGTTGTAATGTTTTCCTTCTCAGATTTAGTTCCTCAAACAGGGGGTGGGGTTGGGGGGGCTGATTTTTGGTGGCTGGTGTGAGGAGGTGGTACCCTGTTTTATTTATTCTCAGTGTTGGTCCATCTGCCTCCGCAATACCCTCCCCCCCGACACAGCAGGTGTGCCCGTGGCCCTGCACGTGGGCCTGTCTTCTGTGTCCGTGTCCGAGCCCGTGGCCCTGTACGTGTCTATCTGGGAGCCGGCACCTCCCCTCACATGGTCTGGGCTGTCCACAGCCCCCTTTCCTTCCCCACGCGTGTTAGAATCAGCATGAATTTACATTATGTCCTTGTGGGAACATGGTTAAGTTGCCCTGAATTCATAGATTAAGCTATTACTGCTTTCTCCTAGGGAAAATATTAACATTTCTGTTGTAAATGATATTTTTATTTATTTATTTATTTTTATTTTTTTAAAGATTTTATTTATTTATTTGAGAGAGAGAGAGAATGAGAGATAGAGAGCACAAGAGGGAAGAGGGTCAGAGGGAGAAGCAGACTCCCCGCCGAGCAGGGAGCCCGATGCGGGACTCGATCCCGGGACTCCAGGATCATGACCTGAGCCGAAGGCAGTTGCTTAACCAACTGAGCCACCCAGGCGCCCGTAAATGATATTTTTAAACACTGTCCTCTAACTCTTGATCTTTCTATCTTTTTTTTTAATATATTTTTTTAAAGATTTTATTTATTTGAGAGAGAGAGAATGAGAGACAGAGAGCACAAGAGGGAAGAGGGTCAGAGGGAGAAGCAGACTCCCCGATGAGCAGGGAGCCTGATGCGGGACTTGATCCTGGGACTACAGGATCATGACCTGAGCTGAAGGCAGTCGCTTAACCAACTGAGCCACCCAGGCGCCCTTGATCTTTCTATCTTATGCTCTTGTGTGCCCACACAGAACTCTTAATTCTAATAATTCAGAACTGCAGATTTTCTCTTTTTTTGTAGATAATTATTTGGTTGGGAACAGTGGCAATTTTTTAAGGCACAAGTAGATAAGACAAAATACTTTTTTCCTTGCCCTCCTGTCCTTTTTTTTTTTTTTTTAAGATTTCATTTATTTATTTGACAGGGGGGGGGCATGAGAGGGAGGCGGAGGGGCAGAAGGAGAGAGAATCTCAAGCAGACTCAGCGCCGAGCACGGAGCCCGACCTGGGGCCTGATCCCACGACCCTGGATCGTGACCTGAGCCGAAATCACGACTCAGATGCTTAACCTACTGAGCCGCCCAGGCACCACTCCTGTCCTCTCTTTTGTTTTTTGGGAAGTTTTTTTTCCTCGACCTAAAGCTCTGGCCCGGACACCTGGGTTCCCCCTAAGCCTCTGCTCTGTTAATGACTCAAGAACCACTGCATTAGGGAGGAGGATGTCGTTTAAAACAGTTCTTCGTACTCTTGGTGGCTCAACCTCTTTAAAACAAAATCAGTCTGTTCACGTTTTGCTCTTCACCTCGAGTCAACGCAGTAAGTCCCATTTTCCGTAGAAATTGGCCATTTTACGCAGTTTTCAAGAATACCGCCCCGACGCGGTTTCTGATGCGCTTGTCCCAGTAGCTCTGTTTCAGCTACAGCTGTCCTCTTGTTCGGCTCCTCACCCTGATCCCCCTCATCTGGGCCTTCTCCCTCCCACTTGCCCATGAGGCTGATGTGGGACTATGTCACCAGCCCTTTTGCAAAACCGATGTTTGACCCTTGAGCTTGTGCATTCACTGGGAATTCCCATTATCTTCTCTTTCCTCATTATTCCCATGCTTCTCTTTCCCTGGGTTTCGGTTTCCGGCTTATTTTCCAATTTCTTGAATTAGATGCTTAACATTAGCATTTGGGGGGTCCCTCCCTGGGCTTTTCCATCGGGCCCCCTTCAGTCCCCAGCCTCCTGCTGCCGCTCAGCGGAGCCCAGCCTCCCCCAGGTGTATGCACATTTCTAAACATATGCTAATGAGTTACCTGCCCCCCCCCAACCCCCCCGCGCTCCCACCCCCCGCCGTGGGACTTGGCTGCAGAGGGCTGGCCTCAGGCTCCACGTGCTGGGTGCTGGTCTACGGTTGAGGCAGCTCATGGAAGGCATCACACGTGCTCCCCGTTCGCAGGAACGGCCTTCCACCAAGGCCCATCTCTGCCGCCTGACTGTCTGGTTCATATCCGCCCCCATCACTCTGGTCCTCCCGGCCCGGCAGCAACTGAGATGTGCTTTAAAACCTCCCACTGAGACCCCAGACTTGTTCGTGTTCCCTGTGGTTGGCGGGTGACTCGGGAGCTCACACTGCTCTGCATCTGCACCACTCCAGGGGTCAGGTGGGGGGCTGGCCCTCCTGCCCTTGTGCTGACCAGCTCCCCACGGCAGCCTCTCAGAACTAGGCAGCAGGTGCGGGGGGTGGGGGATGGAGATGGGGGCTCCGTGGCTCCCACCCGCTGTTCTCTTAAGGTGTCCCCCTTGCATTACTGCAGTAAGGGTCATTGGCTGTTAGTGCACCTGCATACAGGTGTGGCATGTGGAGCTGGGGGTGCATGTATGAGGGGGGCATGTGTGTGCCGGTGAATTGGTGAGTGTCTGTTGGGTGTGTGGCTCCATGCGGGATGTGTGTTCATGTAGGGCACGGATATGTGTGTTGGGGCAGGCACACGTGTGCATGTGCTCTCTGGGGGTTCACCCTTGTTGTTGGGGTCCCGCCACCCCATGGCAGACCGCAGGGCACGCTCGCTCTTTCCCTCCGCTCTGCAGAGCCTTCCCAGAGGGGCGGCTCCGGACCCTGAAATTCAGCTTCCTCCATGAATACTCTGCTGTGCAAGGCTCTACGTCTTCATCCAATTTTTGTGATTTATATTTTCCATAATTCTGTTTGGTCAGGATTTTCAAATTTATTACACAGTTGTGCACTGTGTTCTCTTATAATATAGAAAGAACGGTCTGTGTTTGCTGAGTCTGCTCTCTTGACACGTGCTTTCCTGCTCCTTTCCTCTGGGGGCGAGAGGCCCCTCCGGCTATGTGCACCCCCTTGTTCCGGACCCTGCTTCTGCCCCCACATTTCCGGGGGACGCCTGTAAGGTCTCCCACTGTGTTCCCGCTCCCCTCCCCCAAGACCCCTCCAAAGGCAAAGCTCTTCTACCCCAAATTGGCTTCAGAGCAGACTCAAGCGGTGGGGGACTGCTCACGGGGGGCAAAGACCCCGGCTGAGGTGGAGAACTGAGGGTCATAGGGGCTTGCAGGTTCGGGGGGACAGATGTGGAAGCCACTGGCAGGCCCGGCCATGTGCCCTGACCCCTGAAGGGAGCCCCCAGTGTCCCTTGGACCCCCAACTTGCGCTTCTGTCCTCCCTAGGCTGCCCGCTCAGCCCCCTCCTCCAGTCCGCGCCCCCCAGCGCCCCCCATCCAAGAGCCAGCGCACACTTGGTGGAGGGGAGTCTGCCAGCTTTATTCACAGACCCCGGGAGATGGGGGCAGCCAGGACAGAGACATGGGGGGTGCTTGGGAATGGGCCCTCCACCCCCATGCCTGGGGGCTGGATGCTGCCGCACAGGCTGCACGGGCCGAGGGTCTCTGCCTCTGGGAGCTCCTCTGGCTGCTTCACTTCCAGCGCCCGCCGACTTTGCCCTTGGCCGGGGCCCCGGCCTTCTTGCTACTGCAAAAGGAAGCAAGTTGATCTTCAGTGGCTGGGTGTTTGGGCCCCCGGCCCAGGCCCTCCTCGGCCCCTGGCAGACCCCCAGCCCTGACAGCTCTGCCCACCCGGGCCGCTATCGGGGCGAAACGCCCAGTCTGACCTCAAAGCCCCGGGCACACATTCCAAGCACCGGCGACTCACCTGTACCTGGCCCGGCTGGGCCTGGGCGCCTTGTGCTGGGACAGTTAGTGTGGTTAGGGAAGGGACCAGAGAGCACAGGACACCCCCTAACCCCGGCCAGGAGCTTGGGCTCCAGGGGCCCCACCTCGGGGAGACCCCAGGCCTGCCAGGGAAGCCGTCTCTGCAGATGGCTATCATCCTCCCAGTGACTGTGGCCTGGAAAGAGCCTCCCAGGTCACAGCCTCCTGGGGCAGGAGAGGCTCTGGACAGTCAGCTAACTTGGTCCCTGACTCTTGGCCAGCAGACCAGGCCTGGTAGACTTGGGGCCTGGGAGGCCTCTGTCCCGGCCTTCAGTCCCCTGTTAGAACTGGACCGTGGAGTGGGGGGAAGTCAGCACCTTGCAGGGTGGCCATCCTTAGGATCCTGCCCTGTCTGTCTGAGGCCCTCTGTGCACCAGGGAGCCAGGAGGGAGTTGGGTGCTGGGTCAGGATGCCATGGGTGGGGAACAAGGTGTGTGGGCCCCAGAAGCTGACCCTTTGGGACGACTTCTGGCTGGAGAAGGCCATGCAGTTCCCAAGGCTGGCTTCGGGAGAAGCCCTGGCCCTGGTGGCCGTGCCCGTGGTCCGTCCTACAGGGGTCAGCCTGAGTACCCTTACACGCATGCACACACGCATGCACACACACATGCACATGCACACGCACACGTGTGCACATGAATGGAAGGGCTCTCACAAGGCCCGCATCAGCCTCACACAACAGAGCCCAGGGAGGAGGGGGTCACCTTCACTAGTCCCCCAGGGCGGAGGATCCCAGCCCTGGGAGCAGTAAGGGGGCAGGGGCCAGTGGAGGAGGAAAACCCCCGTCCGAGCAGTCCTGGGGACACTGCACCGTGTGGGGTGGGAACGGGCTCAGCGCAGGCTGGGAGGAACATCCCAACGCAGGTGGAGCCAGAGCACAGGCCCTCTCCAGGCCTTTCCCAGCCACTGTGCTCATGGGTCCCGCAGACCCCAGGGTGACCTTATGGACAGAGGGTTCATATTCCGAGGAACCAGAAGCTCCCCGGGGGCTGCAGGGAGACCCATGACAAAGCCCGGGCTTCTGATGGCCCATGCCAGCTCACCGCTGAGGCAGCTCAGTGTGGGGATGTCCAGGAGCCCCGTCTGGCTTTGCCAGGCTGCTGGGGAGCTGGCCCGGGACCGCCCATGTCCCCGCAGTCGGCCTCCTCCTAGGCTCTGGGGTGAGGAGGGGGCAAGAGGAGCCTGCAGGTCCAGGGGTGTGGGGCCCAGACATGCGGGCTCCAGTGGCCGCTGGTTAGTCTTGTTACTGCTCTGCCAAGGGTCGGCTGCCACCAGGACTGGCCAAAATCGCTGGGCCCGGGGTCGGGCAGCGGTGGCCAGCCCCGTGGGGCCACGTGCCCCGAACAGAGCCCCGGGGAGGGCCTACTCACTGCTTCTGGGCCTGGTCGATGCGGCTCCTGAGGTTGGTGATCTGCGAACAACACAATGACTTACCTGGCAGGTCCGGGCAGGGCCAGACGGGTCGTGGCCAGCGTGCCCTTCTTCGGCGGAGTCTCGCCGCCTCGCCGGGGCCGCCACGCCCTTACTGTGTCCTGGCTCCTCTGGGTGGAAGACACCAGCCCTCAGCCCTTGGGGCTCTTGCCTCTGACTTACTTTTGGTGGCCCGCACTGGAGACCCGGGCCAAGACACACAGCAGCTCTGGAGCTGGCCACTCACCTGCAGCCTGTGGCGGGATGCGGGGCGGGGGCATGGGGAGGGAGGCGAGGTTGGCAGAGCCCATGAGTCTGGTGGCTGCTGAGCGACCAGCCCTGCGGTCCCCTGGCTCCCTCCTCCTGACAGCCCGGGCAGAGAGGCTCAGGGAAAGGCAAAGCCCTTCCCCCCACCTGCCAGCAAGGACAGCAGGTCAGCCTCAGCAGCCACGGACTGCAGGTGGTGGGGACGAGGTGGAGGCTGGAGGCCGTGCCCACCGCCGCCATCCGCAACGAGCCAGTTTGCCATGCGAGAGGCTCACCGTGCATTGCACACCACGAGCCTGGTCCAGGGTGGACTCTGCCTACTTACAACTTGGCCAGTATCTCCACTCTGGCCCGCATGTTCATGATCTAGAAAGACCAAGATGGTTAACAGGCTGGGCGGGTGGCTGAGGCTTTGGGGCCTTGCTGTGTGCTGGGCTAGCCCAGCCCTGGGCCCTCATGGCCCTTCCAGCACCCCCCCCCCGGGGACCCACCATGGGTCGTGCACACGAGTGTCAGGAGGCAGTGGGTCCCTGATTCAACCCCATGGACCCACTTCTGCAAGCCAGCCCTCCAATCCCAGGGGACCACTGGGAGAGGGCAGTGCTGTCCCTGAGCCTGGACACTGCGGAGCCACAGGGATGTGTGTGCTCGGGGCGCGGGGGGGCAGCCCCAGGGCCAGTTGGATGGTCCTCCTCCTGGTAGAGGTGAGCAAACTGAGGCACAGAAGGACCAGGCAAATTGCCCTAGGGCACGGCTCTTGAGAAGGAGCCAGGAGTCACTGGACACCCTCTGTCTTGGTGGCCTGTAGGGATGGCCATGGGAGATGCCCCTCGGGTGTGAACTGTCTTCCACGAGGGACCCTGGAGGACACTGAGGGGTGGGGGCCGTGCCTCTGATGGGGAAGCTAGAGGTGTTTGAGTCTGCACAGAGCAGGCTGGTTACCAGGATGGCACCCTCTCCCCAGGGCCCGAAGGGCCTCCGATGGAACAGTATCTGCACAGGACTGCTGTTCTGAGTTGAGAGCCCCTCCCAGGCAACTCTAGGCAGCCACCCCCCACAAGTCCCAGTCCCAGACCCCTTTCCCAGCTGCTGAGCGGGGACGTGTGGCACCCTTCTGCCTGCTCTGACCGAGGAGGGGACAGCTCGGGGACCAAGCCCGGGCCCCCCAGGGGCTCTAAGGAAGCAGATGTCTCTGGCGGGCACAGCTGGGACCTGGCTTTGCAGAGAAGGCTGTGAGGGAGGCCACCCCGGTGCCTGAGAAACCTACTGCTACCCAGGGTGGGCTTTCCACAAGCCCCAGGCAATTCGGAAACTGGACCCCGAGACTGCTCAGCCCTCTGCTCTCCCTTGCAGCCCCTCAGAGCAGGGCCGATTGCTTGGGGGCATGGAGGCGGGCTCAGAGGGTGCCCCCAGCCACAGTCCCTGGCAGGGTCCATGTGGACAGCCAACATGGGCTTCTCAGGCCTGAGGCTGTGGGGACTTGGGGAGGCGGTGGCCCCCAGTGGGCGGCCAAGCTGCAAGGTGTCTGCACTCACATCATATTTCTGGCGCTTCAGCTTCTCCCCAAACTCGAACTTGTCAGTCTCCAGTTTGTAGAGGGTGTCCCAGAGCTCCTTGGCCTTGTCCCTGGGAGGGTGGCAAAGGTGCGGCATGGCTGGGTAAGCCCTGGGAGGCAGGGTCCAGGCCACCTGCTGTCCCCCTCTGGCCACCATGGAGAACCTGCCCAGCGGCCTGGCTGCCACCCCTGGGCCGCGACACCTGCCTACCTCAGCTTGTCCTCACTGAGGTGGTCGATATTGAGTGGCTTGCGTCTCTCTGCTAGCACCTTCTTCTTCATCTCCCGGGCGGTCTGCTTCTTGCCTCTCTTCTGGTCGGCCTGTGGGGACACAGCAGAGCGGCCTGGCCTCAGGAGGGGAGCACCGCAGGCTCAGTGGCAGTGGCTGGGTATGCAGTCGGAGGCCATGGCTCCGAGGCCCGTGCTCACCTTGGCCAGGTAACTGCTGTAGTTGGCGCCCATGGAGGACAGGGCCTTCTTCTTCTTCAAGTCGTCCTCCGCTCTCCTCTTGGCGTCTTCCTCCTCCCTCCGGGCTTTCTCCTCCTGCGGAGACCCCATCCCCAAGGCCCTCAGTGCTGGGCCGGGGCAGCCCCCAGCTCCCGGGCAGGCTTCCAGGACCCACCCTGGGCTTGGCACTTTCTGCAGGGGCTGCAGGGCATGGGGACCTTAGCCAGGGTCTCCAGCCCCGACCGGTGTCAGGGGGCTGCTCAGGAAGAGGAGAGAGAATCTGCTCTGGTCACTGGCTTGGGGTCCGGGGTGGGAGAGGGGACATGGGCCTCACCGCCAGTCTGTTCTGGCGCTCCCTCTCCTTCTCGGCGCGGATTCTCTGCTGCTCAGCTCTCTCCGCACGGCGCTTCTCCTGCGGCCAGAGGAGCAGGAGCAGGCCAGCCCAGCCTTGCCAACCCCAGCGCCCCCCCGCCAGAGTGCCCGGCACCTCCACCCCCACCCGCAACTGCCCCAACTCACTATCCTCTCCTTGAGAGCAATCAGCTCCTCTTCCTCCTTCTTCCGCGCTTCAAAGTGGCTGTCGATGAGCGCCTGGAGCTCCATGAGGTCCTTGTTCTGACGCTTCTTCTGGATGTCCTGCGGGTGCAGGAGGCCCCTTCTCTCGAACCTCATCTTGCCTGGCCCACGGTGTGGCAGGCGGTCCCTTCCTGTGCTCCAGGAGGGACACCCTGCCTCCTCTGGCCACCGCGAACTCCGAGGGTGGCCAGGGACCTTTTGCCCTCACCATGTCCCCGCGGCTGCTGCCCTCCTGGGGGCCAGGGGCTGCCCGATCCCTTAGCTCCAGTGTAGGAATGGTGCCCTCCCCATGGGTGAGTCTAGGCCCTGCATAGCCCTGAGGTCATCAGCACCCCCGGGATGGACTGGCTCTGGTTTGGCTCTGTTGTCATCCCCAGAGATGTTCTGAATGGGCCAGACAGAGAGGGAACTGGTGAGTGAGGTACTTTGTTAAATAGATGGATAGATGGTTGGATGGATGATGGATGGATGGATGGATAGGTGGATGGATGGATGCATGGATGGGTGTGGATAATGGATAGATGGACACATGGATAATGGGTGGATGGATGATGGATGGATGGATGGATGGATGGGTGGATGGATGATGGATACGTGGGTGGGAGAGGAGGGAAGACAGACGTCTCACACTGAGGGATTTTCCTCCAGTCCAGAAATAAATTAAGGCAGAATTGCCTGCGACCAGGAAGTGCTAGTTCTGGCTGCTTGAGAGCAGATGACCTTTACAGGTCTGGAGCCTGAAGGCTAGGGGTTGGAGGGTGGAGGCCGTGTTGATCCAGGTCCCATAAACTTACATCAAAGTCTACTTTCTCCCCTTCCGGGATCTTAGGAGCAGTGAGTCTGAAGAAGAGAGAGGCTCGTGAGCGGGGGCAGGTGGAGACCCTACCAGGGGGCTGGCCCTCCTGCACTCCCACCTGGGCACCCAGCTGAGGACACACTGCCTGACCTTTATTCTAGTCAGATGTATACCCCACTGTCCCCAGGGTGGCCTGACCCCTTTGAGATGGTTTCAGTCTCTTCATGTCTCTCTGTTTTACCAACATCTGGACATCGAAAGGGCCGTTTCAGCCCCGTCTGTCCAGGAAGGGCACTCTCCCTTTCATTCTCAAACAAAGAAATGCAGCTAGGCCAGGCCAGAGGCAGGCTGGTCACTGCAGGCCCCCGAGGGGTGTTGGCCTCTGTGGTCAGGAACAGCTGTCTTGACCCTTTGCGGGTCTCCAACCCCTCTTGAATCTTTCTTTCTGGGGACCCAAAGGAAGGGGGCTGGGCAGAAAGCAGTTTGGGGAAGAAACGAGACCCCCGGATCCGGCCGGCCGTAACCCGCCATCAGCCCTGGGCCCGGCCCCCGTGCATTCCAGATGGAGCAAAGAGTTAAAACAACAACAAGGTTTTTTAAAACAAGCCACAGAAGAACGTGGAACTGAATATGGACCCAAATGCTGGAACGGGAGAGGCTTTCCTAAGCTCAGAAGCACCAGAAGGTCCCGCTAGGGGAAAGATAGCCAGACAACTCCACGCAAATGAAAAACTTATGTATGTGAAAAAAAAAAAAAAAAAAAAAGCAAAAAAAACCAGGTAAGTTTACAGCAGAGGAACTTGAAAAATAATAACTCAGACAGGTGATAAGGGTCAAAGGGGAAAAAAAACCCCAGCCCAGACTAGAAAAATATTTTCAGCAAGCACAGAGAAGACTTATATCCTTGTGCAAACCGATGGCTGAGAGCACGTGGAGACGTCTCTGCCGTTAGATAAATGGGCAGGAGGCGCACGCTGCCAAGTCTGGGGAAGAAAGGCGGCCAGTTAGCAAGCACGCGGGAAGGCGCTCCTGGAGCCATCCGAGGCGTGCGGACCAGAGCGGCCCTGAGAGGCCCCCCTCATCCATCAGTGTCCCCGGGCGCGGCGGCAGCACGGGGCACAGACCCGCTCACGTCCACGGTGGAGCCTGCACTGGCACGGCCCCCATGGAAAGCAATTTGGCAGCAAACGTCAAAAGCCTGAAGAACGTTCATACTCTTTGACCCAGTAATTCCAGTTCTGGGAATGTGGCCTAGGGAAATAACCCGAAAGACAGAAAATGCTTTCCACCCAGCATTATTTATGATAGTAAAATATTGGGGAAGGCCTTAATGTCCTGCAGAAGAGGAACGGTTAGAAAAATTATGGTTTGTCCAATTGATGGAATATTATGTGGCCATTCAAAATATTTAAGAAGACTATGTAAAAACACGGAAAAATACTTATGAATAGTGCTAAATTTTAAAAAAGCAGAATTGAAGTTTGTATAGACAGTATGATGTTTGAAAAACAGCTCAGAGTTTAAATCTTTTTTTCCAAGCCCTACGCACGGAAAGAGTAGGAAGAAGTAGGGCTTTTATTCCTCCCTGCGCCTTCCTGCAGTCTGGCTGGCGGGCTGGGAGAGTTATAGACGGTTTTTTTTTCTTCATTGGACTTTTACGTATTTTCCAAATTTTCTTTAATGAGGTGTTTTATTTTCATAATGAAAACACAAACATTTTTTTAAAACTAGAAAATATCTGGGACCCAGCAGTGTTATTTAAAATTGCTGAGAAATAAAAGTGCAGGGGATGGGGGCATGCTGGCCGGACCCCTGACACGCCGCAGTGCCCGCGGACCCCCGAGGGCGTCCCACAGGGGGGCACAGCCCCGGCACACTGGTGCAAGTCCAGCCGGACAGCGCGGAGCGCAGGAGGGACACTCAACTGGACCGGGGTGGGGAGTCACGCACCGTGCGCTTGCAAGTGCTCGTCGAACACAGAAAAGTCAGGATCATCAGGTTAAAAAACAAAATCTCTGAAATGCTCACAAGCGGGTAAAACGTGGGAAAGACCCTCCAGATGAGGACGACGGCACCCCAGAGGCCCCAGGGCCATGAAAGATGGCGGGTCCGCTGGTGCTTCTGTTCTGAAGGGGCCACGGGGACGAGACACTCCCTCCACCAGCCTCTCAGGGCCGCCTCTCGGCTAGGGCCTGGGGGGGTTCCCATAGCAGGCCGGCAGCCACGGGGGACCAGGGAGCCCCCCTCTCTCTGTCCCGTCTCCCCCAGCCCCCACCTCCCATTCTTCGTGGGCCCCCACCTCCTCCCACAGGGAGTCCTCCTTGCCTACACTGGACAGCAGGGCACAGCCACACCCTGCTGGGCCCCCAGAGTTCATCTCTGCTCCTTGCTGGGGAAGAAGCACCCAGGTGAACTCTGCTCCCTACCTGTGGGGGAAGGCACCAGCCGCCCCAAATAATCCCATTTTCATCAGGGGCTTTCGTCAGACACCTAGAGCTTTAAATACCAAATCAAGGAGCAAAGACGTGGCCACTTTCTCTCGGGGGTTTGGGGGTATCCTCTACAGAGCCCAAATGCGTTGTCTTCTGTGGGACCCCAGTTTCCCAGGTGACCTTGGTCCTTGTCCCCTGGCCCCCCCAGCGTCCAACCCTGCCCGGAGCCCACACTCACCTGGGTCTTGGCTTCTCCTCTGGTCACCACGGCGCCGGCATGGGGAGAGGGAAGAGAAACTCGGTGAGTGGGGTGGCCCCCTCCTGCCCACAGGCCCCTGGGGGCTGGGGGCTCCCGCCTGCACGCCCACCTGCTTCTCCCTCTCCAGCTGAGCCTACCAGTCATGCTCCTGTCCTACCAGCAACAGGAGAAGGTCCCTGTGGGCTCCCAGGAGGAGAGCTCAGGGCACGTGGACCAGGATGTGGCCAGGAGAGGGAATGAGGGACGAAGGAGGGATTGGAAACCAGAGACACAGAGTCCTCAGGGGCCAGGCAGCGCAGGAGGAAGGAGGGAGAAAGGTGGTCTGATGGGAGGGGGCAGAGATGGGGACTGAGGGGGAGGGGAGGGTGCACCCCTTGTCCAGGCCCTTGGTCTGTAGGTCGGTCCCCACTGACCGCCCCACTTCTGTGTGGGGCAGAAGTGTGCAAGGGCTGGGCTGCAGAGCCCCGTGGCAGACGCCCTGTGGAACAGCAAGGCCTGACCCCGGGAAAAGGGAAGAAAAACAAGGCAGGTGAGGGAGAGGGGTGGGGACCCAGGGGGTCCTCTCCATCTCAGGGTCTGTCCAGACACAGCCTGGACCCTCCCACAGCGGGCCGTGGGGCCCAGGCTGGATTGCCCCCAAGGGTGAAGGCACTCCTGACCTCCCTGCAGAGCCTTAAGAGGCTTCTCTTCCTAAGGCTGGATGAGCCCCCCAGCTCTCCCTCCACCACCTTCTGGGCCCTGCCGTGTGGCGGTCCATGTGGGCCTCCAGACCTGAGACGAGCCCCCGCCTGCCTGCATGATCCTGGCTGCCCTCACGTGGGGGTGCTTCCTCTGACCACCCCCACCCCCAGGCCTCGGAGAGGTCCTGGCTGGCCGGGTCACAGCCTGGGGTCCACACAGCCTAGCAAGGTCTTGCCCTCAGCCCTCGGTCTCTGCTCTGGGTCCTTGGCCGATCTGAACCCAAGGAGGCCTGGCTGAGAACATGTGTTGGATCTTCCGCACTCTGTCCTCTGCCTGCGGCAGCCCGGGCAGGAGGCTGGGGGGCTGCTGCACATGCACTGGATGTGGCTCCGTTGGCTCCCCTTGGCTTGGGTTCCCCTGGATTCTCAGGAGCCTGCCACATGCCCACTGACAGCACTTTGGCCACTTAGCAAGTGGGCTTGATGTCACCCTCTCCCTGCACTTTGTGGGGGGGGGGCTGTGAGCATGGGGAAATGGAGCAAGAAAAGGGGGTGCTTTGGGAGCAGGAACCTGACAAAGGGGCAGAAGGAAGGCTTGGTGGGGAAGAGGGGCGCTGCTGAGGTGTGCTTGCCTTCTCTGGGGGCCGAGCTGGAGCGGTTCCCGGGTGCAGGGGGGCGTGGGGGGCGGCCGAGAGCCGGAGAGGGAGCCCGTGGAAGGAGGGGACACGTTGCAGCACTCCTGCAGCGGTGGCTAGCGGGGGGGGGGGCCTGATGCCACCCCCACTCCCCCCACCATCTGCCTGCCTTTCTGCCTCGGCCTCAGTGTGGGCTCCAGGGTGCCCTGCTGACCGTGGGCCCCTACAGGCCTGCAGCCCCCTGGACGCCTCTACCTGCACGGCCGAGCGTCCGCCGCCCCACGCGGGGGCCAGCACGCCCCTTTATTGTGCAGGCGGCCTCTCTGGGGCCCAGGAAGGGAAGATACTCTCAGGCTTGTGCTCGCGGTTCAGGCCCAGCCCAGAGGCCCCCGCGGCCCCACCGAGCAGAGGGGCCAAGAGCTCCCTGACACGGGCCCCTGACTCAAACCTGCGAGTCCCCTGCCCCCGCCCAGGCACGGCCCACCCAGGGGCCTCCTCACGCCAGGGCGTGCCTGGCTGCGGCCCAGGTGGTGGGTGGGATGCGGGACCTGACTGATTGCTCCTTTGCACGCAAGGCCCCTGGCTGTTCCAGGTCGCTGCCGTAATGCCTCGAGCCTCAGCCTGACTTTCTGTTTCACCCCACTTGGCCCTCCACCCTCCCTTCAACCTCACCCCTCCTGACTCCCCCTCTGACTTGCTATCCAGGGCAGGGTGGAGGCATCTGCCCTCTCTCCTCCTCTGCTCTTCTCCACCCGGCCCTGTGCGGTCCAGAGGGTCATAGTGGACCTCAGCACCCTCCTCCCAAGGCCAGCACCCTCTCGGGCCATGGGCTCAGCACTCGGTCTTGGGGCTGGCCACACCCACATTCCTGCTGGTGGCCCCAGAAGGGCCTCATCCCCACACCCCTGAGGGGTGTGCGCCAAGGGGCCAGGAGGAAGCCTGCACCCAGACCCAACCTTTCCCACCGTGTCCCCAGCCCATGAGAAGGTGGTGGGAGTCAGGCAGGGAGCGAGGCCGGCGGGGGAGATGTGCGGGGATGTGCGTGGGGGCAGGGACGTACCTTCTTGGACCTCCTCTGCAGAACAGCACAGTGGGGCAGGGGAGAGAGAAAATCAGCCGTGAGCCTGGGCAGAGGCTGAGGGCGGGGGTGGTGGGAGGGGGCAGAGACGGCGGGGTCTGAGCAGAACCACACTGTGAGTAGGTTACACGGGGCCCCTCTTGTTCCTGCGTGGCCTGGGCGCCTGCTCACAGCCACACGTGGTCATGCGTGTGCACGGGTACCCACATGGGACTGAAGTCATGGCACATACCTGGTTCATGGACTTCGTGGGGGAGGGAGGGCCACAGAACAAGCGGTCAAAGGAGGAAGGATCCGAGGTTAATGGAAACACCGGTCGCCATTCGGGAGGGTCAGTGGCCGAGGGTAAGGGGCAGGGAGCATGCGGGAAGCCAGTGAGACATGGTGAGTGTTGGCGGGCACTGCCACCCCCAGGTCCTGTCCCTGCCTCGCTGACCTGACGGGGAACCGGGGCTCAAGGGTGGACTTGTGGGGGGCATGGGGTCCCCCCCTGTCCTCCACCCCCCAGGAGGGACTGGCAGGGGCTGACAGGCTCTGGCTGTGGCCTGGTACGGGGACACAGGAACCGGCAGGGCAGGGCCCCCACAGCCCAGGGGAGTAGGGCCAGAGGGCACCCCGCTTCCTGCCCCCACTGCCCTTCTTGTCCTGGCCTCCGAGGGCACACTGACATGGGCACCCGCCTTGGCTGCTCTGCCCACTGATCAGAGCGCAGGCTCCCCAAACCTCTCATTGTCCCCCGGGATCCCAAGGAGGGGCCCACAGGGCAGGTCTTGGGGGCATGGCCGGGGAACGTCCCTGCTGGGGGCTGATGGGCTGTTTCTCCATCACCCCATGCTCACCCGCCATCTGGCCTGGGGCCCTGACCTGGTCAAGGGGTCAGATTTGGCCGCGGGCTCTCAGTTCCCCACGCTGGGCCGGAGGCCGAGTTTCAGGGCTGGCAAGGCCAGGCCGGTCCAGCAGTCCCTCCACCGACCCAGTCTCCCCGTGCTGGGGGCATGAGTCCCATCTGCAGCTCAGCCTGAGTCAGGGGAGTGCCGGGCCCCCACTCTGGTCAAGCATTGGCCATGGTTAGTGGGTGATGTTAGGGCCCCATGTGGGAGTCCTTTGCTGGCTGGCACCTCGCTGCCTCCCTGCCCTCTCCCCCACCCTGCGTGGGCTCCAGCCAGGCCCTGGGCCCCACATGGGGACCAGAAGTCCTGTGTCCTCATACCTTCCTCATGGACTTCTGCAGGTGGAGGAGCGCCAGGTGTGCAGGCGGCAGGAGGAGAGAGGAGAGGTTAGGCCAGGAGCACACAGCACGTCCTTAGGGGGTGGGGGCACATTGGGGGGGGTGCAGAGCGCTAAGGGTACTTGTGGGGGCTGGGGCCCTGGACCCCGCTTACCTTCCTCCTGGGCCTCTTCTGAGGTGGGAGCACCGGGAGGGAGAGAGGAAACAAGGACAGTCATTTAGGGGTGCACCCCGGGTGGCGGGGAAGGAGGCCAGTCCCCCAGGAGAAGGGGTAACTGGCCCTCAGGGCCAGAGGTGGGGAGCCCTGGAGACCTGGGCCTATACCCTGCCTCTGTCCTGTGACCACCCCTGGGACCCCAGGGTCCGGCTTCTTGTTCCCTCCTTGGGGCCTAGGCCCCCCAGATGGGCCTTGGGACCCGCCGCCTGCCTGCCCGCCCGCCCCAGCATGGGTGTGTCTTTGCGGGAGGGCCTAGCCAAGTCCTGCTCCACGGGTGACGGAAGTGAGGACAGGGGATGAAATCCACTGTGGTAAGAAAAGCCCGGGAGGGTCCAGGCGGGCAACGCGGTCTCTGCGCATGCCCGAGGGGACGTGGACACTGAGGGTCTTGGAGGAGACGGGGGCAGGGGACCCTTCCTGTCCGCCACATGGCCTTCCCTGGGGAAGGGGCAGCTCCCCAGGACCACATGGCCTGTTCAGAAGTGAGTCTTTCCACCTTTTCAGCACAAAAAAAGAAATGTTTTGCTCACGTTGTTAGGGTAGCCAAGTGTTTTCAAAATATTTCCAAAACACAGCACCCAGCATGCCTCACAGCTGGGCCCTGCCTGGTGAAGTTGCGTGAACGCTTCCCCGGGCCTGAGCGCGTGCCAGGGATTTCGGAAGAGCACCCACCCACCCGGGCTTGAGAGCCGCCTCTCCGCGCGGTTCCCAGGTGCGGCAGCTCCCCTGCGCCCCACACCTGCCCAGGCACGACCGGGAGACTCCCACAGACGCCGGGCCGCGCGAGGGAGGGGTCTCCAGATGAGCCCGGAGGTTATGGCCGCAAGGTGGGGATATGCTGGGAGATGCGGGGACCCAGAGACAGGGGAGGGAGAGACAAGCGGGGTCCACACAGCCGGCCCTTGATATTAATGAGGGTGAGTCATAAAGCACACGTCAGGTCTGTCCACACGCCACCACCAGGATGGGTATAACGAACGATTAACGAGTGTGTGTCTATTAGTGGATGAAGATGTGGGAGATTAGAGGTGACAGCAAGTGGTCATTAGTGATGAGGAGGACGGGCTCCGGGAGTCCAAGAAGCCCAGTGGGGGTGAGGCCGCGTCCCGAGCCGAGCGGGGCGGCCTGGGTCGGGGGTGGGGGCATGTGGGGCCGCCAGGATTACCTTCTTCCTCGTACTGCTCTGCAATGGGGTAGAACACGGGAACCGTGTTAGCGGGCTGCCCTGGGAGCCAGCTGCCCCACCCCGAACCACTGAGGAGGGGGCCTGGGGGGCTTGGGCTCTGGATACCCCGCGAATCCTGCCGGGGCAGGGGACGGGGGGCCCAAGTCCCCCTGGGAGAGCGTGGCGAGGCCGCCAGCCCTGGAGGCCCTGGCCTGAACGCTGCCCTGGACAGCTCTGCAGGGCCCGCTGGGCGTACAGGGACAGGTTCAAATGTGACCACATCTCGGGATGTGTCCTGGGAGGAAGCGGGGGCCCCGAGTGCAGGGGCAGGAGTGGGGAGCCCATGTTCAGAGGGGGTCGGTCTAGCGCCCACCGCAGCCAACGTGGCAAAACTCGGGCTTTCCACCAGGGCTTCCCAAGGAGAACCGTGCTGTCAACAGCCATATGGGCCTGTCTCACGTGTGACTTGTCCCTGAGGGTGGACGCAGAGGGAGAATCATTTGACACTTACCATCGACCTGTTCACTGTTGGGGCCGGGGGTTGGGGGGGGAGAGAGAGAGAGAGAGAGAGAGAAGGGGTGAGCTGGGCTTTCACTCCGTGTCTCCTAAGACCGCGGGTCCTCTGGCCTCTGCACACAGCCCAGGTTCAGGGGGCCCGCGCAGGGTGGGTGGGTACTGGGACTGGTACTCACACTTCCTCGTCCGACATGGTGGTGGGACTGTTTCTGTGGGGGAAGGAACATGACCAGAGTCAGAATGGCCTTGGTCTAGAAGTGCTGGAAGGGGTGAGCGTTGGGCTCCTAGGGCTGGGGGTGTGAGGGGACATCCAAGGACAGGGTGGAGGCCAGCTCCCGGCCTGGGACGGGCCTCCTCCGCAGCATGCCCCCCCCACAGCCCTCCTTGCTGGACTCTGATCCCTCCCCGCCCCCCTTCCTGCCCTGGCTCCAGCCTGGAGCTTGGAATCTTGGGGCTGGACGGGATGTTGGAAGGTCGTGGTGTCCACCCCCACCCAGGGCAGACACCCCCTCTCTATAGCATTCCCCGAGGAGGGTCATCCAGAATGCACGGTGCTTGTCCAGACTATTTTGGACAGCAGAGAAGCCCTGCCGATGTGGCTCGAAACCTGCTTCTTGATGGTCTCTGCCTTTGGGCTGAGGTGGTTTGGGGTTCGCTGGGAGCCCCTAGGTGACAGAGCCCCACTCCCCCAGTGGGCGTGCTGAAACTTCCTGGGTCTTCGTGCCTCACCATTCCCGTGACAACCCCTCCCGGTGTGAGCCCAGAGCTCCCTTCCCCAACTGATAGTTTCCTGCAGGGACCCCACATTCTCCTATGGGGGTGCCCTGGGAGTCCCCCACAGCCCCTGTGCAGTCCCCTCTCCCAAAACCACAAGGGTGCATGAGCCATTCTCCTTGTCTTCCCCCACCCCCACCCCCCACCCCCACAGAGCAGACTGGGCCCCGAGCTCATGGGGCCGGGGTCTGGGCTGTTTCTCTGCACGTCCCCCAGCCGGGGCCCTGAGCAAGAACTGAGCGGACAGCCCCATCCGGCCGGCCCCTCTCAGCCTGCTTTCCCAGGCCCCGTGGATGCTCTTGAATTTGTCAACGTCTGCAGAGAAGCTCTGTGCTCGGGCCCGGCCGCACGTGTGCAGGTGCGGCCGGCGCCCGGCCAGCGCGCTCGGGGACACTCGTTCCGTGATCTGGCCACCGCACATGCCTGAGGGGCCCGGGGCTTAACACATGGTGTTCAGGACAACATATTGCAGCTTAGTGGAAGACAGTAGTTGTGCCCCCACCCCCCACCGCCCTGGGAGCTTCGTATAAGAACACAAGCTCATCATCTAAAGATGCATGTACATCACATCACCAAGGTGGGAACGGCTTTCTGAAGCCTCTGTCCAGAATGTTAATTTTCCCAGAGCAGTTTAAGCTCCATGCAAAATTAACCCCCAGATCTCTGCTCCCCCACCCCAGCCCAAGAAACGGCTCTTTCCTGAAAGAGGACTCTGCTGCCCCCTCAAGTTAGAGCCTCCTGCCCGTGTGCAGCTGGGGGTCTCAGCCTCCTGGTGGGCCGCTCTCTAGGGTGGGAGGGTCAGTGAGAGCCCGGGGCCCCCCTCGACCCTGGCAGGGCCCTACACCTGTCAGCAGCTTCAAGAGGGGGCGGTTGTGGCCTGAGCCCAGGGGCTGGTTATTTTTAAGAAGACAGTGGCAGCTGAGGTGTCCAGAAATAGGCACCCAAATTAGCCAAGACACCTCTGCCCAGAAACCCAAGACGCGGGGAGGGGGGCTGTGAGGGGAGCCGCCGGCTCAGGTCTCCTCCTGGCCAGCTCCCCACCCCCCCGGCCCCCACAGGTGTCCCAGGCCCGCCAGAGCTCCTGCATCTTGCTCTCCCGTCTTCTGGGCTAGAGTCCAAGGTGGGCACCAGGAGGACCCCCGTATCCCCAGGCAGGGTGCCTGGAAGCCCCTTTTGTGAGTCAGGGCAGCAAAGCCTCACCGACGTGGGGGAAGCTTCTCCAGAATCCTGTCCCTCTGCCCAGTAGAGCCCCGAAGGCTACACCACGGGGCGGCTCTGTGCCCCCAGCTGGCTGTCTGTCGGGGAGGGGCCAAGGTGGGGTGTGCTGGAGGGCAGGGGGCAGCATTTCGACAGCTGGGAAGGAAGTCAGTTGTCCGTTTCGTGCTCTGCCCTCAGTGTGGAGTGGGGGAGGGAGGTAGAGTGAAAATAACTCCTGAGGTCAGAGCTCCTTGGAGATGTACACCCTCCTTCCCTCCTTCCCAGGTGACAAGATGGGGTGGGGAGGGTGGGAGGCCCTGCCCCCACTGGCTGGGGGCCCCTGGCTGCGTCACCCAGCAAGCCTCAGCCCCCACCCTGCCCTGCAGGGGCTCCTTGCCCGGGTTCCCCCCATGATGGGATGGCCAAGGGCACGCAGAAGGAGCCGGCAGGGGAGGCGCCGGGAGGGCGGGAAGGGCAAGGAGCGTGGGCGGGGCCTCTGGGGCGCAAGTGCTCCTCCTCCATGGCTAGAGGTGGGGGACAGATCCCAGGTCCCCACTCCACCCCCGGCCTGGCCCTGTTTGCTCCTGTCCTTGACTTCTGGGAACTGTCCCCGAGGCCCCCCAGCCGCCTCTCCCCATGGAACCGCTCCTGGGGTGAACGACACGAGACCCCTTGTGTTTGGCTCTACAAATGGTTGGGGGCTATGACCACTTGAGGCCAAGAGCCCCCCGCTTCTGAGGGGAGCTGGCCTTGGCCCCTGAGCTTACTGGAGCCCCATGGAAAGGCCCAGATGGCCCCGGGGGCGAGCCAGGACCCCGCACCGGGTGGCCCTCTGAGCTGTGGGCCGTGTCCTTCCTGGGCTCTTCCTCTCGACCCCTGGACCTCCCTCCAGCCCTCCACCCTGCTTCCCTCCAGGGAGCCCCCACCTGCCTCCTCAGGCCTCCCCGGCTGCTGGGCTGTGGTTGGGAATGGCTATTCCCAATGTTCAGGTTGGAGAGCATCACCCTCCATGCCAGCACCCTTGGGACCTGGGGATGGCTCCGTGGGTTCTCCAAGCTGCCGTGCGCAGAGCTGAGACATGTGGGAACATGGCGTCCTGGACCCTCAGCAGCCTGGGACCCCAGATGCGCCTCGAATGTCGGGCCGGCCCTGCCCAGCCCTGGGCCATACCAACCTGTGGCTGCGTCTGGAGAGACGGGCTGGAGCTCCCTGTGGACAGGACCGGCTCAGGCAGTGCCCGCTCCGCTCACGAACCCATGTTATAGTGACATTTGATCTTGCCCAGCAGCCCATTGGCCAGGGGCTGGGTGGCCGGGCGCGTGGGGCAGGCAGGAGGGGGCTGTGCCCATGCAGGCCCCTTACCAAGTATAGGAACAGCCGAGGAGGAGGCCTGAGGAGGCGAGGGTGGGGGGACGTGTATGGAGAAGGAGACGAGGAAGAGAGTCAGCTTCTATTTTTACCACCCTCCTGCCCTCCGCCGAGAGAGGGCACATTCCTGACGGGCTGAGGAGGGCTGACAGGACCAACTGGGTGGCCCGGGGGATGCAGCCCAAGGCTCTCTGTGGGCCGGGCTGCTGTGGGGGCCCCTGCCTGGGGCCCCGACTCCCGTAGCCCAGCCGCCCTCCCTGCGCGGTGTCTGGGGCGCGCGTCCTTTGCCACAGGCCCACCTGCCTCCTCAGTCACAGCACGTGGCCCGAGGGCCCGGAGCCCTCCGTGGAGTGGAGGGCTCTGTGAGTCCTCGGCCAGGTGTCTGTCATGTCTGAGCCCTGCTTAGTGACCAGACCTGGGGCCTACAGGACGGACGGGCCAGAGAAGTAACAGCCCAAGCAGGATCTTGAGTGCTAAGGGTCCTCATCGCCCCCAGTGGCTGCCCCCCCAAGGCCAGGGCCGCACCTCTGCCATCAGCCTGGGAGCTCCCCGTCTGGGGGTCCAGATCCTGGAGATCTCTCCCCCCTCTGCCGGTGGAGCCTGGCCCTTCTGTCCGCGGGACTCCGGGTGATGCCATCCACCTGGCAGACATCTTGCCCGGGCCTCTGATGGTCCCCTTGCTTGCCCCTCGGATTAGGGAAACCGAGACTCAGAGAGGGGCCAGAGCTGTTGGGCACCTCTTTCCAGACCTGAGGACTCCAGGCAAGGGGCTGCCAAGCACGGATGGTGGGGTCTGTGGGACGGCTTGGCCCAGGGCAACAGCTGGTGGGCCAGAACACAGGACAGGGGTGAGCCCTGGGGAGACGCAGATGAGGCCCCTGCCCTCTGGAGGCTTCGAGTGAGGGACGACAGCGTGACTGGCAGGAGACTCACACGCCCCAGCCCCAGCTCCATGTGGCTCCGTGCCTGCTCTGGGTTCTCAGAGGCTTCTGGAAGCGTTCCACAGGCACCCCATTCAGTCCCTCCATGTTGGAGATAAGGTCACAGGGACCCAAGACAGGAGAGGCATGCCCATAGCCACACAGTGAGGGGACAGAAACCCTCGCCTGCCCGCCTCCCCCGAGGCCCGAGCTGCTGGGAATGGCCCTGCCCTCCTGTCTGAAAGTTGTTCCCTCCAGCGGTCTGGGTCCTCGGATGAGCAAGGGCTTGGCGGGCCACATGCCGCTGACCCTTGGCCAACTCTGTCCAGTGGGATCACCTGAAGAATCCCTTCCAGGGAAGGTCCCCGAGGAGCTCCTGGGGGCCCGCCATGCCTCCTCCCCATGGTGGGGCTTCTCGCTCTGCTCACAAAGACCTGAGGACACCCCCCAACATACATACACAGAAAGATGGGGGCACACATGTGGGGACAGCACATTTGGGAGCATTTGGCCTCGTCAGTAGGCCGTGCTGGAGTCTGGCCTGGGAAGCCCTGTGCAAGCCCAGCCCCGCTCAGATTGCGGGTGGCCCGCTCCCGGGAGCTGCCGGCTGCCCCTTGCTCAGGCCAGGTCGTTCTTAGGAGCTGCACCTGCAGATGGGCATGCCACAGGCCCTGCAGTGGCCCTGCTCGGCCAGCAGAGGAGGGTGGCTGCCCGCTCAGCGGCCTTGGCCTCTGGCAGGTGCTCTCCCTTGAATGGGCCGAGCCAGAGAGCGGGCGCTGAGGTCAGAGGAATCGCACAGGTTTTATTTTGGGTATCCATGACCTCCTTCTCGGGGCACCAGGCCCGTGATGCAGCGGGACAGTATTGCGCCGGCACTGCTGGACAGGCCGCAGGCCTCCGAGAGCCTTCGACAGGTAATCCACACCCCAGTCCACCTGGCCTGGCCCGGCCCGGGTGGGAGGAAAGGGCAGGGCAGGAGCCTGCCCTGGGGGCTGGAGGAGGTCTGGGGACCCGGGGTGGAGGCAAGGGATAGGGGTGGCCCAGCCCTGGTTGGGGTGGAGGACTGATCTCAACCCCAGAAAGGAGCTGACTAGGGGGACCTCAGGGACAGTGCAGCCCATGGACGGTGGAGGGTGGGCTTCTAAAGCCGGCAAAGCTGAGTGAGGCCACAGAGCACGGGGAAAGCCGTGAGAGGGAGAGGAGGCCCCCCAAAGATATTGACTCCATCTGTCTTCAGGGGTGACCCCAGAGGTGGGCGGGGAGAGCAGGCTCCCCCCCAGTCTGGGTTCTGGCGCCAGTTTGCATGGATGGGGGTGGTGGGGCCCCAAGGGACCTTGAACGGGTCCTGGGCGCCCACACTGGTGCCAGCCCCACAGGCTTGGGCTCTGCCAGGCCCCAGATAGAAGCTGCTGACACAGCACTTTGGGGACAATCCTTCCCCAGCCCTGTGCATCTGCCACACCACACGCCTTGGGTGCTTCTGCACCATGGTAGCTCACTGGTTTGCTCCTGTGGCGGGGGGGCATTCGGTGCCTGGGACAGGGGAGCTGTGGGGTAGCTGGGGATCTCAGGCAGGCAGCACAGAGCAGGGGGGCAGTGCTTGAGCATCCCAGGCCAGGAACCCCTCGGGCAGTGGCCCTTCTGGTCCTCTGGACCCTTTAGGTGGGCAGGCCCTGGCCCGAAGGCATCGAGGGGTGGAGGCTTGACATCATGGCAGCAGTGGGGTCAGTGGCTCTCAGAGGAGTCAAACCCTGGGTCCTCATCCCCGAGGCTGGGCTGGGGTGCTGAGTATCCTGAGAGGGGCCCCGGTGGGTCAGGGCGTCCACCCCATCTGCCTCACATCCCGCAGTGCCATCCACTCTGGTCCCGGCTCAGTGCCCAGCCATGGACACCATGGCCACCTCTGCGGCTGCCCTTGGCAGATGTCCCATCCAGGCTGGGTGGGAAGGGAGAGAGCGGTATGTGCCCTGGGAGATGCTCCCCAGCTGGTAGAGCATGGCCCTGGGTGCAGTCTCCGGGGTGGGCCGCGGATGAGAAGAGATGGCTGTGGCTTCGTGGAGTTTTAACACTCCTGACTTGTCCATATTTACTCTATCCTTGGGGAAGCAGGCAGACTGTGACCCTGAAGACTTCAAAAAACATACATTCTGAGCAGAGCCAGGCCTAGAATGCCAGAGGTCCAGCGGTCCTGCTCTTCGAAGGGGTTCCCCAGACAATGAGGCCATCCGGGCTCAGGGCTGGGAAGCATGGTCGTGCTCTCCCCCTTCACACTCTGGTCCACTCCCCCACCCACCCACCCACCCATTTGTTCCCATACGTCCATTCTCATATTCACTAGCTTCCTTCTTTCCTCCCTTCCACTGTCCATCCAACCAGCGTCCAGCTATCCACCAGCACACCCACCCACCCAGCCACCTAGCCACCCACTGTCCGGTGCACACTGATCCAACTGCCTCTCCACCTCTTCTCCCATCTACTGTTCTCACAATGATTTTTTCTGTCCATCTACCTTCTGTACATCCACCCATGTACCCATCCATCTATTCTTTATCTACCCATCCATCCATTACCCAAGATTCATCCACCCATATTTCTATTTATACAGCAATCCATCTATCCATCCATCTCTCCATCCCTTCACCCATCCACCCATCTATCTACCCACCCTCCCATCTATTATCCATCCATCCACCCACCCATCCATTTACCCACCCTTCCATCCTTCCATCCTCCCATCCATCCATCCACCCATCCATCCATCCATCCACCCTTCCACCCATCCACCCATCCATCCATCCCTCCATCCATCCATCCACCCATCCATCCATCTATCCATTCATCGATCCATTCTTCCACCCATCCATCCATCTGCCCATCCATCCATCCTCCACCCCTTCACCCATCATCCATCTTCTACATCTGTCCATCCACCCTTCCAACTATCATCCCTCCACCCATCCACCCACCCACCCTTCCATCCATCCATCCATCCCTCCATCCCTCCATCCCTCCATCCATCCATCCATCCATTCTTCTACCCATCCATCTACCCACCCTTCCATCTATCATCCCTCCACCCATCCAGCCACTGATGCTTCCATCCATCCATCCATCCATCCACCCATCCATCCATCCATCCTTCCACCCCTTCAACCATCCATCCATCCACCCATGCTTCCATCCATCCATCCATCCATCCATCCATCCATCCATCTACCCATTCATCCATCCTTCCACCCATCCATCTACCCACCCATCTATCATCCCTCTACCCATCCACCCACCAACCCTTCCACCCACCCATCCATCCATCCACCCATCCATCCATCTACCCATCCATCCTCCACCCCTTCTTCCATCCATCCATCCATCCATCCATCCACCCATCCATCTATCTACCCATCCATCTATCTATCCATCCATCCATCCATCCCTCTACCCCTTCACTAATCATCCATCATCTATATCTGTCCATCCACCTTCCATCTATCATTCCTCCACCCATCCACCTACCCACCCTCCCACCCATCCATCCATCCACCCATCCGTCTCCACCCACGCATCATCCACCATCTACATCTGTCCATCCACCAAATCTTCACTGAGTATCTCCCAGGTGCTAGGATGGGGGATAAGCCCAAGGGGGTGTGTTGTTTTCGGGGGGTGGCACAGTCTAGGGGCAAAGACCAGAAAAGCACACTGTTTCAAGGGCAGTAAAGTTTAATCAGGCCATTCAAGGGGAGGGTAGCATCACAGATGTTCTGGAAGAAGACTGGACCTCACCCGTCACCTGCACCCCAACTTAAGCCACCATACACCTCAGATTGCAGAGTCTAACACTGCAGAAGGCCATGGGACTGAACGGTATCTGATTCTGGAGGCCAGAGACCTGGCTGCTACCACTGTCCAGTGTGGGTAGGGAGGGATTTCCAACTGGGTTGGCACTGCTCCCTTGTTGCTCCCCCAGTTAGTGAACACAGAACGAGAATTTGGAACACACGAGGAGCTTTATTGCACTAGAAGGAGGAGGCTGCAAGCAGGGGTTGGAGGGGGGTGGTGCAGGGTCTGAGAACGTGGTGCAGGATTCACTGTCTCTTGATCTGGAGGTTCCCCAGCAGGTGTTCTCTCTCTGCCCAGCCTGGGCCTTCCTTGGGAAGCCTTGGCCTCTGTGGGGGTGGCCCCTTGGGTCAATCACCAGTGACAGTCCCTTTCCTGCCCCTGCCATGAGAGGCAGAGTGGGGGTCAGAGAGTGGGAGGGGAGAGAGGTCAAGGGGGTCGAGGAACAGAGGTGGCGATCGTGCTGGATGATGGAGGGGTGCAGGCAGGCCAAGCAGGTCATGGCAGTGGCTCCCATGGCAGGGCCGGGGTGGGCATCAGGCTGGACTCTTCCCCTCGAGCGTGGAGGTTGCTGCCAGAGGCACCCGTAGTCTCAGGAGAGCTGAAACACAGGCGTGGGTGGGAGCATGAGGCTGCGGTCTGGGGAGGGGCTATCTGCCCTGCCCTCCGTGCCTCCAGTCTGTCTCCGAAGGCCACCCTCGCCCTACCTACACTCCCCCCTCCCCCCAGGGGCAGCCTCCCTGTTCCAGCCATCGAAACCCTGTGTCTGCTTCCACGTTGGAAGCTTGCTTTCCCGACGCTGGGCCCCGGGGCCCTGGGCCTTTGCATGACTCATGGTGGAGGGGTTTCTGCCCATCGCCTGCTTGCCTGCTAGCCTGGCAGCCCCAGAGCTAGACCTGGCATTCCCGTGGTTCCTGGGGTCCTGGGCCCCCAGAAGCAGGCACAGCCAAGAGTGAGCCCCGGGCAGACCCCTCAGGCCCCTCCCCAGGCAGATCCACTCCTGCCTGACAGAGCCAGCCTCCACAGGGCAGCAGCTCCAGGCCTCCTTCCTCCCACAAACCGGCCGGCCTCTGGCTTGGCCCAGACGCCATTTGTCAAAGTCCTTGCAAGCACGTGGCGCCCAGAAACCAGGGCGGGCGGCTTGGCCAGGACCACCCCAGCCAGGATGTCTGCGGGAATATCCCATTTAGCGTAGCTCAGCGAAAATTGCTCCCACCTCCCGGCCAATCTACCTCTGATGATGCAGCCTCAGCTTTCCTGAGCCTCTGGCCGCCACCCTTACCGCTGGCTCACAGTGGACGAGCCTGTGGTCAGACTGGCGACGGCACGGCGCCCCTCACGCGTCTGCGGGCAGGCGCTCTTCCTGCCCTGGTGGGCCGCTGGCCCAGCACGTGCCTCCCCCTTGGAGCTTGCCCACGGGTCTCACGGCCCAGGCTGTGCACCCGGGTGGCACCCTCGTCCATCACCCACTGAGGGGCTCGGGCCTGGGTGGACTCCTTTCTAAGCCAGCCGGAGGTGGAGCCACCCTGCCGAGTTGCTGATACAGACAGATTTACCAGGGACGCACCTGGCAGGTGCCAAGTGCTCGGGAAGCAGAGCTTCTGATGGTCAGGCGGTGACCCCCTTGGCCTCAGGTCCTCCCACATGATGGGGAAACCACGTGCCCCTGTGGGAGGGGTGCTGGCAGGGCTGAGGGCTAACCTGATGGCTGTCCCTCTCCTCCCCAGGGTGCAACAATGCTCATCGTGGCTGGCCTGTGCCCCCAGGGGCCCTCTGGACCCCCACCGCCCCTGCTGCCCAAGCCAGGGAAGGACAACGTGCGTCTGCAGAAACTTCTGAGGAAGGCCGCCCGGAAGAAGATGACAGGGCCCCCTGTGCCACTGGGGGCTTTCCGCACTTCCCTGTCCCCCGTGAGCGAGGCCAGCCATGACCAGGAGCCCACGGTCCTGCGCCCAGCGGAGGCCCCACGCTCCACGGAGGCCCCGCGCCCTGCAGAGGCCCCACACGCCGCAGAGGCCCCATGCCCCATGGAGGCCCCACACCCGACGGAGGCCCCGTGTCCCATGGAGGCCCCGCGCCCTGTGGCCTCCCTGTCCCAGTCCCCCCGCAGCTCCATCATCCACCATGTGGCACCACCCCTGCAGAAGTCCATATTCCCCTTCAGCTTCACCCAGCGCAGGAGCCTGGCCGCTCACTTCAAGGCCACAGGGCCCCAGCTCACGACCCCGGCCCCAGACCCCGCCCGGTCCCCCAGTGGCTTCACACAGGTCTCAGCCCCCACAGCAGGGGTCACCCACGTCAGCCAGGTGCACATCCGGCTAGTGCCATCCCCACAGGCCAGGACCCCTGAGCCCCGCCAGATGGCCCCAAATGGGGGACCTGTGAGGCAGGACCGAGACACAGCCCCGTGCCCTCCTGGGGCCCAGCCCCTGGTTCCCATGGCCCACATCCGCTCACTGCCCACTGAGGCCCAGGCTGCCAGTCCCTGGCCTGAGGCACCCCCTGTGCCCAGGCCACTCCCAGGCTCTGAGGTCTCAGTGCCCAGAGAGGCCAGCACTCAGGTTGTGGTGCCCGTCACCCCCACCTACTGCTCACCGGCACCCTCGCCTCACAGGCCAGCCTCTGAGGGCCCTGAAGCTGAGCACTTGGAGGAGCCCCCTGTGTCTGGCCCTGCCACTGCGGCTGAACTGGTCTCCAGACCCTGTGGAGCCTCATCCCCTGCCCCCCTCTCAGGTCCACACCCATGCCCTGCCCCCAGAGTTGCACCCAAGCCCCAGCTCAGTGGCTGGACGCGCCTCAAGAAGCAGCTGAGGGAGGAGGCAGAAGCGTCCCCATTCCCGGGGCCAGAGCAGAGCCCAGAGTGCGGGGAGCAGGAGGTGACAGCCCCCGTGGGCCCGGTGTCCCGGCCCCCAGCCTCCCGGGCCTCCAGGATGTGGAATGCTGTGCTGTATCGCATGTCGGTGGCCAAGTCCCAAAGCGGCCCGGCTGGGCCCAGGGACGGGGCTTGTACCCTGGCTGGCCTGAGCCGCTTGCCCTTCCTGTGCAGGCCACGATTCAATGCTCGGAAGCTGCAGGAGGCAGCCACCCGGCCCCCTCCCACAGTCCACTCCTCCGTCCTGGACCTGAACCCCAAGCCCAAGAACTTCAACCGGACGGCGGCCGGCTGGAGGCTCCAGTGAATGGCCCGGGTGGCACCAGGGCCCAGGACCACGGTGTGGACAGAGGAGGGACAGGGGGTCCATCTGGGAGGCCATGGCCGCTGAAGAGGACACCAGGGCCAGACCGATGCTGGGCAGCCAGGAGGGGGCAGGTTGAGTGGGCGGCAGCATGAAGGACGGCGGTGGGGGCGGGGGGGATGAGGCCGGGGGCAGGTGGGGCGAGGGAGGAGGCCGATTCCAGAGGAGGGGCCTGCATTGGGGTAGAATGTAGGGGTTGACGGGGCAAAGGATTGCGTGAGAAGGAAAGCACACACCACAGCTATGGAGGGGGGTAAGTGAGTCCACCTCGCACGGGCCGGCCCTCGGCTTGGGACCCAGGGCAAAGAGGTGCAGGGGTGCACCGGGGCTCCTGAGGGGCTGCAGGCAGGCAGGGAGGGCCTCTGAGCATGACATGAACTCTGAGGCTCGACATGGTGGGGAGGATGCTGGGGCTAGGTTCTGCGGTGCCCCCCCGGCCCCCACCGGCCATGAAAGACTGGGGACAGATTTATGTTGGCTGTGCGGAGTGGAACCGGTCAGGGTGATTCGGTGGTCGGTCGGCACCCGTAGCTACATCAGTGGTTTGACTGACATTTTGGGGAGCCGGACCCCATGCCTTGTCCCTTTTTTTGCCCACCTCAGTTTCTCTCACCTAGGGGGCAAAGCATGACAGGGGCTCGCGCTCGCTGCTGGGAGATAGGGGGAGGGTCTCACCATCAGTTGGGACCCAGCTTCAATGGCTATGTGAGGAGGGTGTCCTCAGTCCTGGGGCAGGAGAGGAGCCCAGCGGAAGGGGTGAGGCAGTGAAGGGGACCCCAGGCCTCACGCAGCTTTGGGGCCCCCAGTCTGCAGTCAGCTGGGGTCTGACTCAAGGGGAGGGCCAGGGCTCTGATGGGGTCAGCAGCAATGGGAGAGGGACATGGCGATGCCTGGGAGCAGGGCGCAGGAGGGAGAGGAGGCCAGTAGGCGGCCAGCTGCATCACCCAAGGCATAATGGGTGCTGGAAGTGGATCCTGGGACCCAGGCTCCTAATAAAGTGTGTCTAACTGCGGCAGCGGACCATGTTTCTTCACTTGTGATGGGCAGGGTGGTGGAGACTGGAGCGGACCCCTGATGGGAGAGCGAGACCAAGGCTCTGGCCCCTCGAAGACACAGACCCAAGCTCCCAGGACCCCTCCCCGTCCACTTCCTCTGACGCTAGTCCTGCAGTGGTCAGGATGAGCTCACCCGCCTCCCAGAAGGAGGTTTGAGCTTCCTTGCACAGTAGAGCCGTATAAAGCTGAAGCCAGCCATGGGAGAAAAGCAGTCGCACGCGGTGTAAGAAGGGGCTTGTTCAGGGGAATCTGCAGGGCAGGGAGACCGAGCCAAGCCTAGGTTCTGGCCAGCTCCGAGGCCGCCCTGGCAGCCTGTAACAAGCAGGCCCTGTCCACGCCACCACGTTCCCACCACACGACGCCTCATGCTCGGGCCACTGCCCTGGACTCACCAGGAAGGGCCGCCTAGGGCACTGAGCCCTCGTCCACGAGCACCTTCTCATACTTCCCATGTCCGGTGGCCACGAACTTGTACCTCTTTCCAGATGGGGTGCTCTGCTGGGGAAGGAGACCAAGAGCCAAGGTGAGAACAGGCGATGCTGCCTCTGAGGAGCCCTCCCAGATGCACTGAGGATGGCCCCTCTTTGCTCTCAGCTGCTGGACCTGCCCTCCTTACATCAACCACATTTACACCCTACCTTAATTGTTGATGATGTCTTGGAGCCTCCTTTCTGCTCCCAGAGGCTTTTCTTGCTCATGTCTCCAGCTACAATATCCTGGGGGCAGGGGAAGGACATGTTACGGGTGTAGACCCTCGACTATGGAGGATTCGAAGTGCTGGTCCTCTCTCTCCTGCCTGGGCTTTCCTGACCAGGGCCTAGGCCTGCCCACCTGCTTCCTTATGTGAGAGCCCAGGGGAGGAGGTAGGAAAGGGAAGGTGGCACCATCTACCTGCCCTGGGCCAACCAGTTGCCCCATATGACCTTCCACTCTGGGGGCCCGCGTGGTGAATGCCGCCCCCCAAATGTCCCAGTGCTCTGTCTACCCACACTTCAGCCTGGATGGTCTCATACTTGTCTTACCAAGGGAACCCCGACTCACCCTGGGATGAGTCCTACCTTGCAGGAGGGGGCCTTGGCAGTGGACTGAGCCTGCACCTCTCCTGTCTCCCACCGGCTCTTGGTGCTTGCCACGGCCATGCTGGGCAGCTCAATGGAGGGCTGGCGGGTTAGCTTGGAGGTCCGGCCAGCAGTCTGCAGAGGAGAAAGAGCCCACTTTAGTGAACAGCCACATGGACATGTTAGAGAGGCCAGTGTGAGACCCTCCAACACATAGACGATTTCCTCTATATCTTTGTATTTCCATAGGAGTGCTTTCCCAGTGAAGGGCTAGAGCAGGGCACTCTGCAAAAAGGCATGTTCCTCCATTTGGAGTACTTGTGAAACATTCTCTTAATCCGAAAAGCACAGGTGACATGGTGGGGTTAGAGACAGATATGGTGCTGTCATGCTGCTCATGGCATAGGGCTGGAGGAGCATGGGTAGAATGGAGGCGTGTTGGTTGGAGAGAGGGGTATTAGGAGGATGGAGGGGTTTTGGTTGCATGGAGGAATGTAGGTTGGAATAAGTGGTGGTTGGATGGAGGGGTGATTGTTGGATATAAGAATATAGGTTAGGGCACGTCGGTGGCTCAGTGAGTTAAGCATCTGCCTTTGGCTCAGGTCATGGTCTCAGACTCCTGAGATCGAGTCCTGCGTTGGGCTCCCTGCTCAGCGGGGAGTCTGTTTCTCCTTCTCCCTCTGCCCCTCCCCCCACTCATGTGTTCGCTCTCTCTCGCTCTCTCTCTCCCAAATAAATCAATAAACTCTTTTTAAAAAAAGAATATAGGTTAGATGAGAGGGTGTTGGTTGAATGGAGGGGTGTAGGCTTGAATGAGTGGTGGTTGGATGGAGGAGTGTTGTTTGTAAGGAAGGACACTTGTACGATGGAGCAGTATTGGTTAGATAGAGGGGTCTTGGTTGGATAGAAGGGTATTGGTTGGATGGAGGGGTCTTGGTTGGATTGAGGGCTCTTGGTTGGATGGAGGGGTCTTGGTTGGATGGAGGGATCTTGGTTGGATGGAAGGCTATTGGTTGGATGGAGGGGTCTTGGTTGGATGGAGGGCTCTTGGTTGGATGGAGGGCTCTTGGTTGGATGGAGGGGTATTGATTAGATGGAGTGGTCTTGGTTGGATGGAGGGCTCTTGGTTGGATGGAAGGGTATTGGTTGGATGGAGGGGTCTTGGTTGGATGGAGGGCTCTTGGTTGGATGGAGGGGTATTGATTAGATGGAGGGGTCTTGGTTGGATGGAGGGCTCTTGGTTGGATGGAAGGGTATTGGTTGGATGGAGCAGTATTGGTTAGATAGAGGGGTCTTGGTTGGATGGAAGGGTATTGGTTGGATGGAGGGGTCTTGGTTGGATTGAGGGCTCTTGGTTGGATGGAGGGCTCTTGGTTGGATGGAAGGGTATTGGTTGGATGGAGCGGTCTTGGTTAGATAGAGGGGTCTTGGTTGGATGGAAGGGTATTGGTTGGATGGAGGCGTCTTGGCTGGATGGAGGGCTCTTGGTTGGATGGAGGGGTATTGATTAGATGGAGTGGTCTTGGTTAGATGGAAGGGTATTTGTTGGATGGAAGGTGTAGGTTGGACGGAGGGCTCTTGGTTGAGTGGAGGGGTATTGGTTGGATGGAGGGGTCTTGGTTGGATGGGACAATGGGTGCATGAATGGAGGAGGGACCCAGCAGAAGAGGAGAGGCCTAAGCATACCTCTATGGCCTGGGTGTACTGCTCCAGCCGCTCATCAATCTTGGAGATGGGCAGTGCTGGCTGGGACTTCTTCACACTGTTACTGGAGGGTAGGAGAAGGGTCACACCCCATGCTCTCTCACTTGGCTTGTACACCCCACCCCAAGCCTGTACCAGATCTCCCTCAGGCCCCTGGATCTCTGGCCCCCAGACCCCTCTCTTCAACCCTCTCTTGGGGAACCCTGAGTCCTAGTCTGGAAAAGAGCAGGCACACCTCTTCTTGATGGAGCGGTTCAGGGACTCGGTTCTGTCGATGAGCTGCAGAGAGCAAGCCGAGATGTGAGCCTTCAGCCAGAGCCCACACCCCCCCCGCCATTGCCCCAGTGGCTCCCGTCCACCAATCCAGCCTTCCACGATTCATTTCTCAGGGTTGGGCTGAGTGCTGGGCTTGGGGGAATAGCAGAGAAAGAGCAGGATGTGCTCCCTATTCCTGGAGGTGACGTGTGGCTGCCTCTCTGGGGCTGTCATTTGGTCATGATTCTGGGAAAGAGGAAAAGGCAGCCGGCTCTGGGGCTTGACCTACTTTGGTGCTGGGGCTCAGGGGAGGCGAGCCCTGTTCAGTAGCGCCCTCCAAGACCAGGGGGCTGGGTGTCCTGGGCTGCTGGCGTTCCTGGTGCTAGAAACAGAACATCTGAGGTTATATGATGAGCACCCCCTTTGCACCCCTCCTGCCCCATCCAGGACTTGTTGGATCAAACATCTTCCCCTGCCTGGGCCTCAGGCCCTTTCCAGCCCTGACATGCTCTGGTTCTCAAATTCTCTGCAGTTCTCACTTGATCCCAGGGTCAGCAAGCCCCTCCACCCTCCGAGAATGCGGGTGCTAGAGTCTGGGGGTGGGGGCGGTTCCCCCTTTAAGCCAGCCCAGCAAGGCTCACAGAACATGCAGTCAGCAGACACAGACCCAGCCCAGCGGTTTGAGTGTGCCCACCCCAAGGGGAGCCACCCCCACCTGCTCATCTGCCTCCTCAGCTTCTGCTGGCCCCAGGCTGCCCTTCATGGTCCCCTCTGGGCTCTTGGGCTCTATCTCCTCTGTTGCCAGCCCCTCCTGGAGCTCTGAGCTGGGGCTCAGATGCAACGCCTCCAGGCAAACACTGGCTGGGCTCTGCTCATTTCCATCCTGGTTCCTGCAGGCATGCTGGTGGGACCTGGGGAGGAAGAAGAAGGCAATCCCGCAGAAGGTCGTTCAATTGCTTGCCTCAAGTCCCTTCCCGTTTCCAAACCTCAGTTTCTCCATCTGAAAGACCAGTTGAGCGCCAAGGAATCCTGAGACCCCAGCCTCATTGGGGAAATGGGTCCAAGGACCTCAGAGCCAGCCCTCCGTCCCTGGGGCCCCTTGGTGAATGGTGCCCACTGCCAGAGTTCTGCTGCTCAGGATGCTCTCTCTTGCCTGGGGGCCACCTGCACTCTGAGGCTAGACCCAGTCTCCAGGCTCTCTGGACAGGCCCCAGCCCAGGTCATGCTTGTCCGTGTCCTCCCTGCTGGCTGTGGCCCCCACTTGCTCCTGCCCTGCTCCGCGAGGGAGGCAAGGAGCCTGAGGAAGAAGGGTTTTGTATAGGAGTGGGGCAGGGTCTGTGGGTGGTTCGGGGGCTGGTCAGCTGGAGGACAAGGCGAGGGCAGAGGTCACAGTGAGGATCGCTGCCTACTGTCAGCCAGCGTGGCTCTGTGTTTGAGCAGGACTGAACCTGGGTAAGATGGGAAATTCTCAAATTTTCCATGATTTCACGCCCCTTGGTGTTGGTGCCAGCTCAAGACCCAGACCCACCGCCCAAGGTGGGTCGGTCCCAGGCAGCGGCAGGCGCACAGAGGGCCCATTCAGCTGCGGCAGGTACCGGGACTCGGCAGGTGTGGGGCGGGGGAGGAGGGCTGCTAGAGAGCAGGAGGGTTCAACAGAAGAGCCAAAGTGCCCCCTGCTGTTGGGACAGCTGTGGCCCATGGCCGGCGGGAGAGAGGAGGGAGCCGGCAGGGCTAAGCCACCGGACGCCAGCGCACAGGCCAGCCTTGCTGACCCCAGACCCGTTTTAGACATGCAGAGTGTGCACTGACTCCCAAAGGCAGATGGGGGAAACTGAGGCCTGGAAGGGGCACTGGTGGGCAGGGGGCCGGCCAGGCAGCTGGCTCCCAGGGTGTGGGAGCTTGCTTGTAGGGTAGAGAAAGGGTGGTGGGACAATTGGAGGGGTCTTAGCTAGAGCTCGAGGCTCCTGAGGGGCCTCGAAGGGCTGGGAGGTGGCCCAGAGAGGGGAGAGACATGGGTCTGGTGACATTCAAGGTAACCGGGGGACCCTGACCCCCAAGCCTGAAGCTCCTGAGCAGAGCTTGGACCCTGTCCACAGTCGGGGACCTTGAGCATGCCTGCAGGGTGTGGGGAGCACTCAGACCCCTGAATCGGGGTGGGGGTGAGGCTCCGGGCGCAACCCCCATCCCATCCCTGGGCCCCAGGGGCGCTTCGGCCCCCACCCCCGCCTGCCCGGTTCAGACCAGCAAACACGTCTGCACATCTGGAAAGCTTGTCCCTCCAGGCCGGCTCACAGGCCCGCACATCTGGAAATACCTGCTCCCCTCCGTGGGAATGGAGATCAGCCAGCCCCGAGGGAGGAAGGGGCGGGCGGGCGGCAGGGGCGCAGAGCCTCCATTACGTAAGTGGGCTGCAGATGTGTGCTGACGTGGCAACACCCCGGCCCGGGCCGCAGCTGGTCTGGACGGGGCCCAGGGGCCCTGGGGAGCCCAGGAATGAGATTTCCTCCCCAGCCCTCCCCGCAGCCCCTCGGCCCGCCGCCCCACTGTCTAGTTCTCTTCCTCCCTTCCCCCTGCTCCCAGCTCCAGGGCATTTTGCGGGGCTGGTGGCTGGTTCTCAGGCACCGGTTGGGGGCTTGGAGAGAGCCCCTGCCTGGCAGCCCTGCCTCCAGACGTTGACCCCCACTTGCCTGTCCGCCTCCTGCTGCCCCTCCGGACTCTCGCCCCAAGGGGGCTCCCCGCAGCTGGAGGTCTCCCCGGCCCCCCAGTGCTGCCGTTGCTGCTCCGGCTTCTGGGACCAGTCGCTGAAACCCTCATCCTCGTCCAGTTCTGGAGCCTCTGAGGGCTTCAGGCTGAGCCTGAAAGAGCCGCACAGGGTGCTCAGAGCTGGGCCAGGCCATGAGGGGCCGTACATACACTACCCACACCCCTCCTCCCTTCCTCAGACCCTGGGCTCCAGGGGTGGGAGACCCTGTCTGCCAGAGGTAGCACCTCGTGGCTGCGCTGAGCCTCCCCATTGTCTCCCACATAGTCTGGAGTTGCCTGAGGCCAAGGTTGTGTCTCACCCTATTAAGCCAGGGCCCCCCAAGAACAGGGCTCTATCTCCCTTATGAGTCTGAGGTTCACAAAGAGCTGGGCTGTGCCTCCCCCATCAGTTCAGGGCTCCCCCAGAGCTGGGTTGTGCTTCTACCATCAGTCTAGGGCCTTCTGAGAACTGAACTATGCCTCCCCTGTGCCTCTTGAGAGTTGGGCTATGCCTCCTCCATCAGTCTAGGATCCCCTGAGAGCTGGGCTGTGCCTCCCCTATCAGTCTAGGGTCCCCTGAGAGCTGGACTATGCTTCCTCCATCAGTTCAGGGCTCCCCAAGATCTGGGTTGTGCCTCTACCATCAGTCTAGGGTCCCTTCAGAGCTGGGCTATGCTTCCTCCATCAGTCTAGGGCCTTCTGAGAACTGGGCTATGCCTTCCCCATCAGTCTAGGGTTCTCCGAGAGCTGGGCTGTGCTCCCCCATCAGTCTAGGGCCTTCTGAGAACGAGGCTATGCCTCCCCCATCCATCTAGGGTTTCTTTCGAGCTGGGCTATGCCTCCCCCATCAGTCTAGGTTTCCCCGAGAGCTGGGCTATGCCTCCCCCATCAGTCTAGGGTCTCTTGAGAACTAGGCTGTGCCTCCTCCATCAATCTAGGGTTCCCCAAGAGCTGGGTTGTGCCTCCCAACAGTCTAGGGTCCCCTGAGAGCTGGACGATGTCTCCCCCTTCAGTCTAGGGCCTCTGAAGAGCTGAGCTATGCCTCCCTCATCAGTCTAAGGCTCCACAAGAGCTGGGCTGTGCCCCCCTCCATCAGTCTAGGGTCCCTGAGAGTGGGGCTGTACTCCCCCCTCAGTCTAGGGCCCCCTGATTGCTGGGCCGTGCCTCCTCTGTCACCCTGGGGTCCCCGTGTGTGGGGTTGTATCTCCCTCTGCCCCCTCAGCTGAGCCCCCAGGGCTCTGGTGACATGCTCCTTCCCCAGGAAGCCCCTGCACCCCATCCCCCCACGGCAGGCCAGGGATCTGGTGCCGGTGGGCTCCCCCTCTGCCCCCAGCCCCTGCCATCTAGAACGAGGACCCGGCCTGAGGGGCCATGACCGCTGCGGCACCCCACCCCGCCCGGAGCTGCTGACTCGGAGAAAATGGAACAAAACAGCGGCGGGAGGAAGGGGGGCATTATTGTAAAAACAGCCCAGCCCGGCCGCGGAGGCCTCCTGGGCCCAGGGAGGAAACGAGCCGGCCTGCGGCCCGCCAAGTTGGACGTGGCCTCCATGAGTCACCGGCAGCGGGGAGCTTGGGCGGGGGGCTCCGGGGCCAGGGCCACGCAGCTGGGGTCAGTGTCGGTCCAAGCAGGGGCCAGGACTGCGCAGGGCGGCCAGAGCCTGAGTCAGCGCTCTGGGAGGCTGGCTGGGAGGGGTGGCCGCACGGGAGTCCATCCGGCCGGCCGGCCAGTAGGCTCTGCTGGCGCCGGGGGCTTCGGGGACCCTCACCCTGAGAACTCTCCCCACTCCTGCTCCTGGGCTGAGCTCCTCCGTGGTCTCACCTGCTCTGGGACCTCTAGCCCAGGGCCTGACCATCAGCACCCCCCTCTCTGCCCAGGGGTGAGGGCCGGGCAAGCTGGTGGGAGGGGGCAGCTTACAGGGTCTCCTGCTCGGGCAGCTCGGGGGACTGGCCGCCTCCGTCCTTGTCTTGGGCCCGCAGCTGCCGGTCCCTCTCCCGGCGGCGCCGCTCCCGGGCGGCCTCCTCCTCATCTTCCGCGCTCCGCTGAGTGGTGAGCCTGGGGGACACGGAGAGACGGTCACACCGCAGCCCATGCCCTGCCACTCTGGTCCAAGCAGGCTCCTGTCTAGGCCTCAGTTCCCTCGTCTATAGAGCAGAGGTCATGGGAGCTGGTCGCAGAGGTGCCCTCCGGGCCCAGGGGGCGCTCCCAGGGCTCTGTAGGCCTGGGGATGGAGGGGCTCCAGGGACAGGCAGGCTGGAGCAACCCCAATACTGAGTAAGACCCCTGTGTCCCCTCCACCAGCTAGGTTCCCTTGGCCTAAGCAGAGCTGGGCTGCAGAAGGCATGGAAAGAGGCTGCTGGAGGTGCCACACGTCCTACCTGCATCAGGTGGATCAGCCTCGGCCAGTCAGGCACTGCCGGGCTGGGCTGGTGGATCAGCCTCGGCCCAGGGACCCCCTGGGTCCAGCCAGGGGCAGGCCTGGCTAGGCAGCCACCTCCTTAGCTGACCCGCCCAGCTGGGGTGCTCCCTCCTGCTCCCCAAGGGCCTGGCATGTTGGAAGGAGGTGCCCCCCAAAAGGGCCCAAGGTCCACAGAAGAGGCTGCATCCAGCTGGAGCCTGACCCCTCTCTGGGCTGTTTCACAGATGAGGAAACTGAGGCCCACTGCAGAGCCAGCATCGGAGAGCTTCCTCCATCAGTGCATGCTGGCCCCACAGCTTCTTGGGGTCCCTCGCTCAGGGCTACGCAAGGTGGGCCTGGGACAGGGGGTCCACAGCCTGGTCCCCCTGGCCCTGGCCCAGCAGATCTCAGAGTATCGGTGTCTGGGGGGCACCCCAGGCCTTGGCCACTGACATGGCCCTGCCTCCCCCAGCTCCCCTGGACCCCGGGAGGGGAGTCCTGGTCTCTGCTTCTGCAGGGGTTCCCACTGCCCCAAGCTGGGGTCTCAGTCCCTTCCTGCTGGTGTCCGCTGCTTGACCCCACAGCCCGCTCCTTCTGGGCCTCCATCCCTTGGCCAGGATGGCCGGCTCCATGGTCTCGGCAGCCCTGCCAGCCATGATCTAATCTCTCCTCAGTCCTCCCAGAGCCTCCCAGACAAAAGCCAGGCCCCTCCGCAGCCCCCGCTCAGGGCCCCCTCCCCCCTGCCGCTGTGGCCCCCTGAGACCTCCGCCGTGCTCAGACCTCAGCACCCCCAGTCCGCCCACCCTCACTCCTCAGCAGGACCTTTGGCTCCCACCCCCAGGGCCCCGGGGAGCCCCTCCTGCCCCACACCCGGCTCCCATCCTGCTCCAGGCCCTCGGCTGGGAAGCTGCAGGGCTGTGTTTTCTGGGGAGGTAGAGCCTAGGGTGCTCTCGGGCTGTGGGGACTTGGGGTCTGAGGTCCTTCCCCGCCATTCACCCCTGCAGACCCTCTTAATGGAGGGTGGGAGCAGGTGGATGCAGTGGGAGCTCGGTGCTGTGTCCCTGGCTGTGGGGTGGAGTGTGGGCCCACCAGCCTTCTTGTGGGGTGGCCCCTGGGGGCACCCCAGGAGGGATTCCTGGCCATTCCTGACTGGACTGGCCACCTTGTTTCACTTGCTCCCGTGCCCCAGCTGCACATGCCTATCGGCGAGTTTGTGTTGGGGTGTTGGCAGTGTTTTGGCCAATGGGTGGTGAGTGGGTGTGAGTACGTGGGTCCAGGTGGGGTGTGGGTGGCCCGGGAAGGTGTGCTTGCGTCCGAGGCCTGAGCTGAGCCTCAGGTCCCCCTCAATTCTGCTCTTGGGAACCCCCGTGGGGGCCTCTCTCCAACATTGCTCCTGCTTCCCAGGCCCCTCTGCCGAGATCTGAGCGCAGAACCCACAATGTGTCTGGTCACCCCAGACACAGACATGGGCTAAGCCTCTGGGGTCTGCCCGTACGGCGACAGGTCCAGGCCACAAGAGCCCCATGCGGGCCCACACTCGGCAGGGCCCCACGCATGGACACACAATGCGTGGCCGGTCCTCCCTTGCACACACAGAGGCATGCATGCACACACACATACTTCCTCCATGGGCTCTATCCACACTCAGGTCAATGTCGGCACACGTGCCCGCCCTCCATACGTGGTCCCAAACGCCCCCCGGCATGCACACACGTGCCCATATGCGGGTGTTCATCTGTACACGCAGACTCAGAAGTAGGAACAAGGTGAGGGGCAAAACGGCAGGTCCAGTCCCCCCACCCCGGCACCCTCACCATGGCCTCGACAGCGGCCCAGGAGGGAGACCGAGGCATGTTTTCTGAGAGCAGCATTCCCGAGGAGCCGACCCCTCCGAGGGTCACCCTTCATGACCTGACTTCTGCATGTGGCCCCGAGCCCCCACTGGCAGGAGCTTGCAGGGAGCAGAGCAGGGCTGCAGGGTAGGGGTCTCCTGCTGTCCCCCAAGCCCCATGCTGGGAGACCCAGCGGCCTAAGGACAAAGAGCCCTCCCCCCCTCGCCTCCTCCCTCCCGCCAGCCCCAGGATGTGAGTAATGCAGCCCCTCCTGGCCCCTCCCGTGACCTCACCCCTCACTGTTCCACAGCTGGGCTCCGTTCTGGGAACTGAGAGGGGGCGGCTCTCCTGGGGTGGGGTGGGGGCCTCTGGCCTGGGAAAGGCGCCCCCCTTCCCCGGCCAGCAGCCCAGACCCCTTGGCAGGCTCCACGGAGCTGTCAGGACACGGGCGATGGCCGCCCCCCCCCCGCCCCGTGGCCCCTGGCTCAGCCCGAGTGCAGCTGTAAGGGATTTGGTGTTCCTTAGCAAATGCAATTAGGCTGTTTCCTGTGTCTGTTCTCATTCTGTGCAGCCAAGGGTTCAGCCCCAGGGGCCGCGGAGTGGGGCTCTGCACCCCAGCATCAGGCTCTGCCGTGGGGCCTCGCTCCACCCAGGTGCACAGTGTGGGCAGACCCCAGCAGGCCCCAGGAAGGCTCACAGCTCCCCGTTCTGGGTGGGGGTCCCCCAGTCCAGGGGCTGCTCCTGCTGGTCATGTCCACTGCCTACCGGCCCCGACTCGAGGCACCAGCCCCCCTCTCTCCTCCCTCTGCAGCATCCCCCTTGTGGCCCCCCCAACCACTAGGGTCTGAGGTTAGAGGATTAGAGGGTAGGGTCCTGAGCTGACCGGCCCCTCCAGCTGTCCCCGCCCCAGCCTGCATGGGTTGGTCCCAGCTTGACTCTGCCCCCTGCAGGCGGCTTGTGGGCCACCCCACCTGTCTCTCATGCCAAAGGTCAGCTCAGAGTCACGGGGAGAGCTTGGGGGCTGGGCTTGGGGGCCAGGCAGGGCCAGGCCTGCTGGAGGAGAATTCTTCCTTTAGGCTTGCAGGGGATGCTCTTGGCTACAGGGGTCCCGGACACAGCGCGTGGGAGCTGCCCGAGAGGCTGGGGAGTGGGGCTGGCCGCCCTGCTGGGAGCAGAGAGCACAGGTCTCCCTGAGGACCAGCATGGTCTCTGTCCCCTCCATGCCCTGCCTCCCCAGGGTCTCCAACACTGTCCACCAGTGGACACTTGCTGAGCGACTGGTCCCTCATGAGTGAAGGCGCGGGGTGGGGGGCGGTGAGCCAACGGAGAGGTCTTCTTAGCGTAGGCTTCCAGGGGTCCCCAACTACCAGAGAGCAGGCCCCCGAGGGCAGAGGTCATTGGCCCTGGCAGGGAGTTCAGGGGAGAGCGGCAGTGGCTGGGCAACTGGGAGGGTGCCCCCCGATGCTTATGGCCGTGCAGGGAGGGTTCTGCGGGTGTGGCACGGCCAGGGTGCTGGCTGTCACCCGTCCTTGCCGAGAGGCAGCTGGGGGGGCCCAGAGCGCGAAGGCAGCCCCAGAGCAGCAGGCGGGTGGTGGGTGGGGTGGTGGGAGGCGCACACTGCTGCCCCAGGCCAGGAGTGTGGGCAGGGAGCTGCAGCTGCCGGGAACCTGGCTCCCCGATGCCCCGGCCGCCTGCCCTCCCAGCCGCCCCTCCTCCAGCAGCACCTTTCTGGCTGTGCCAGGGCCCTGGAGCGCATGGGGGAGAGACGACCCCTTTCCTCGAAGGCCCAGCCAGTCAGTGGGCCAGGTAGACAGCCCCCCGGGGCACGCCCAACCCCACTGGCCTGGGGAGCCCAGGAGGCGACTTTGAACTTGGGTCTGAAAGATGAGCCAGGGCTCCTGGGCCAGGGAGAGGGTACTGCAAGAGGAGAGCCAAGAAGGCCAGTGGCCAGAGGGCTCAGTGCGGCCGTGGCCAGGAGGGGCAGCTGTGGGGAGATGGACAGGAGGGTCTCCGAGCCCCCCATGGGGCACAAGAGGACCGGGAGGGGGACTACAGGCCAGGAAGGTGGCGTGGGCCAAGGGACAGCAACCTCCAGAACTCCCTGCACCCCAGGAGGGAAGGGGGGCGGGCTGGGGGGAGGCCCCAAGGTGAGCTTGGGTGAGCAGAGTGTGGGGTACATGGGGACTCCCGGAAAGGTGGTCAGGAGGGACCCAGGCCAACCCAGGGAGAGCCCTGGGGATGAGTCACCCCTGAGGGAGCTGAGGGGCAGCGGGGGAGCACCAGGGTTCTGGGGTGACGAGGGAGCAGAGAGTGGCCAGGGGCACAGGGAAAGGCCTGGAGTGCCAAGCCCCTAGGTCCCCTTCCTGTCTCCCTCCCTCCTCCTCCATGCTGGGCGCCTCATCGGGGTTAGAGCTGCAGGGGCAGGGACAGCCTGGGCCTTCACCCCAGCCCCGGGGCCTCAGTGTCCCCGATGAGCGCTTGGCTCCTCCCCTGCTGTGCAGGAGTGCAGCCCTTCCTGACCCTCCCCTTTGTGGTCACTCCCAGAAGGGGCAGCACCCGGCGGCCTGGGGGTGTTGTTAGGTCTCTGGAAGACCCAGGGCAGAACAGCTGGGGACCCTGGGGGCTCTGGAAAGTTCTGAGCAGGGAGGAGCTCAGTGGAAGGCAGTTGGAGGAGACGCGAGAAAAATTCGGGGGCTGAATGGAGGGAACCACAGGAGGTCACCCCAGGAGGAGGGGCTGGGGCCAGGGCAGGGCTGTGGCTTTGGTCTCTCTGATCCCCTTCCCAGGGTGAGGCCCCGGGCCTGGCCTCAGCTCCCCAGCTGTAA